AGCTGGATGCACTTGGTAGGAGACTGTAGGTTGACAGACATTCTTTGAAGATGCTCTGGGCTCAGAAGTGCAATCTGTTTGTTACTACAAAGAATACTCAGTTTGAAGGTCATGTACCGTAGCGCTTGATAGAGATCACTTTCTAACTGCTGGAAGAAAGCTCTTTGGATTATTTTGTTTCTGAAAAAAATTGTTACCTTGATCCTGTGGAAAAATGTGATTATGGCGACTGTACGGTCATGTTCTACAGCTCTCAGTGCGTTTACTGATAATCTTGACTTTTCCTGTCAAGCATAGGCTTACAGCCTCACCTTCCCAAAAAGTAATAGCAAAAATTTACAGTTGTCATGAATATCATTTTACTTAAAGTAGTGTTTGTGGAGTGCATTTTTTTCTTTATTTTTCTTTTTTCTTTATTTAACTTTATGAAATGGCAAGGTATGTTTGTCTTACTGTTCCAGGTACTTTGAGAAACACGTAATACAGTGTATGAAGAGAAAAGACTAGCAACACCCAGCTGTACATTAAACTTATGCTACATTTTTCACTTAGTCTAATTTTTCAAACCAGTTACGTAGTTATGTTTGAGGAATAGACAAACATCTGCCAACAGATTTCACATGGCCTTTGAACAGCCCCTAAATGATAGCTATACTTATATTGTTCTTATTTTTTCAAAGTACAAATGTGATACTTGAATTCAACATTTAAAATGGTGCAAGCATTGCTATACAATTTTATTAGACTTAGTCTATTGATTATTATGCAGAAGTCCAAAAGCGTCACTATCAGATTTAGGGATAATTGGTTATATCTTCTGAGAGACCCAAATTCCCCAAATCAATAGCTTTCTTGAGAGTATTTTGTCACCCTTCTTGAATCTCTCCTGCTGTATGCTAGCTGGTATTCTTTATTATTCCTCCTTCACCGGAGATTTTCAGGGCTCAAAACGGTGACTGCGTCATCTCCACCTTAGAAAGATACTCTAGTTAATGAAGAATCACAGAATCACACAGAATCGTTTAGGTTGGAAGGGACCTCTGGAGATCATCTAGTCCAACCTCCCTGCTCAAGCAGGGTCACCTAGAGCATATTGCCCAGGATCACATCCAGACGGGTTTTGAAGATCTCCAGCGAAGGAGACTCCACCACCCCTCTGGGCAACCTGTTCCAATGCTCTGTCACCCTCACAGTGAAGAAGTTTTTTCTCAGGTTCAGGTGGAACTTCCTGTGGTTCAGTTTCTGCCCATTGCCTCTTGTCCTGTCACTGGGCACCACGGAGAAGAGGCTGGCCTCATCCTCTTGACACCCTCCCTTCAGATACTTATACACATTGATGAGATCGCCTCTCAGTTTTCTCTTCTCCAGGCTGAACAGGCCCAGCTCTTGCAGTCTTTCTTCATAGGAGAGATGCTCCAGCCCTCTAATCATCTTGGTAGCCCTCCGCTGGACTCTCTCCAGGAGTGCCATGTCTCTCTTGTACTGGGGAGCCCAGAACTGGACACAGTACTCCAGGTGAGGCCTCACCAGGGCTGAATAGAGGGGCAGGATCACCTCCCTCGACCTGCTGGCAACACTCTGCCTAATGCACCCTAGGATCCCATTGGCCTTCTTGGCCACAAGGGCACACTGCTGGCTCATGTTTAACTTGTTGTCCACCAGCACTCCCAGGTCCTTCTCGGCAGAGCTACTTTCCAACAGGTCAGTCCCCAGCCTGTACTGGTGCATGGGATTATTCCTCCCCAGGTGCAGGACCCTGCACTTGCCTTTGTCGAACTTCAGGAGGTTCCTCTCCGCCCAGCTCTCCAGCCTGTCCAGGTCCCTCTGAATGGCAGCACAGTCTTCTGGTGTGTTAGCCTCTCCCCCCAGTTTAGTATCATCAGCAAACTTGCTGAGGGTGCACTCTGTCCCTTCCTCCAGGTCATTGATGAATATATTGAACAAGACTGGCCCCAGGACTGCCCCCGGGGGGACCCCACTAGCCACAGGCCTCCAACTTGACTCTGCACCATTCACCACAACCCTCTGAGCTAGAGGACAAGCTCCACCACAAGTTACCCTTACAGGAACGTGGCCTGTGCTGGCCGTGGTGTCCACCTGCAAAGCACAGCTCTCCAAACTCACCTCCCTTCCCCGCTCAGACCTCCCGAGAGTGATGGAGAGGGGGTGACACAGCGCATGGCTCCGATGATCAGAATAAGGACT